CCGTGGGGGCGCTCCCGGGCGGGCGGGCAGGGGACGCCGGCCCCGCCATGGTGAAGAGGAAGAGCTCGGAGGGGCCGGAGCAGGAGAGCGGCCGCGGCGTCCCCCTGCCCATCCAGACCTTCCTGTGGAGGCAGACCAGGTCAGCGCCCCCGCGCCCGGCCCGCGCGCGCGTGCAAATGTGAATGTGTGTGTGTGTGTCTGTGTGCATGTGTGTATGTGTATATGTGTGTATCTGTGCACATGTGTATATGTGTGTGTGTCTGTGTATCTGTGTGCATGTGCATATGTGTGCATGTGTCTCTGTGTGTGCATATATGTATCTGTGTCTCTCTGCATGTGAGCTTGTGTCTGTGTGTGTATGTGTGTGTCTGTGTGCATATGTGCATATATGTGCCTGTGCATATATGTGTGAATCTGTGTGTATATGTATGTATGTCTCTCTGTGCATGTGAGTGTATGTGTGTCTGTGTCTACATATATATAGCTGTGTATGTGTGTGTGCGCCTGTGTATGTATATGTGTGTGTGTATGTACATATGTATGTGTGTGCGTATACCACAGGTGTCCACTGCCCAGGCCCCATCTCTGCCATGTTGCTTTGCCTTCAAGGCCAAGCACATGCAGGAGCATCCCAGGCACAGAGCCTCTGAGGGCCCTCCAGCCCCCCCCGGGCACTGGGGCTGTGGCTCCCAGCTGGCTTCATACTAGCTGGCTCCTTTCTGTCAAGATGATTACCAGCAGGTTGAACAGGTCAGAAGGAAAATGGAGACATCACACTCTCCCTGCTTTCCTTTGGATTGAGGACTACTGATGTCGAAGGGCAGGCTGTGTGTTGCTTTTCTCTTGTTTTTAACTTGACCATGTTGGCTGTATTTATGCAGTTGCTATTCCCACCATCCCCCTTGCCCTAGTTCTGGACTGGCAGTGCCTTAGTGAGTAGAACTGAGCGCTTTCTTTTGGGTTGGTCCTTGTGGGGAAGAGGGTTGGTTTTAAATCTGAAGTCCCAGTCTTAGGCATTGAGCAGATTTCTCAGTGGTATCTGAGCAAACCCTGTGCTGTGATGAGCTCAGTAGTCTGTCCTAACAATTTGGCTTAAAAAGTATAGGTTTGGAGGAGATAGGTGTGGAAATCTTATAGCTAAAACCAGAGGGACTGGATGCCTGAAAGCCAGGTAAGAATATGAAGTCTTCTTTCACAGCCCTGAATATACCACTTACCAAAAGAAATGGGTCCTTAAAGCAAGATGCTGGCAAGACACAGCTAAGCATCTCCACTCCCATTATGTTTAGTAGATTTGGCTTCTTTTTAAATAAACCTTTGTGTAAAGACCATAGAAAGTGTATTCTGAGTTTAAATGGGTGAAAAATTTATCATTAGTAGAATTTTTCCTCCATGTGTATGTAAGTGCTCTGGTAGCATATGGACAACTCTTTGTTTGGTTTGCATTTACAAAATTCTTTGCTGAAAAAGATAACGTTATTCTTTATGGGGCTTTCAATAGGTACCTGAAGTTTTTCCCAGTTTCATTTCTTTTCTTTGGATGAGTTTCTTTACCCACTTAAGTAACAGTGACAATAACTAAACAAAAATAACTAAACCAAAAATATCTTCAATATAGTCCTTAATATTGGTTATTCTTAACATTTTTTTTTTCTTTTAGTGCATTTTTGAGGCCTAAATTGGGGAAACAATATGAAGCTTCCTGTGTGGTATGTAGATTTTTCTCCTCCCTCTTTCCCCATCTCACCCACATGAGAAATAACTTCATGTAGCTTTGAGTATGGAAACCTGATAAAGTTGAACTAAATGAGTCAAACTTGTATGTTGTGTAACTCAACTTATGTCAATAAAAGTAGTTGTCAAAAATGGAAAAGTATAAGGGCTACTCCCTTCCCCCCACAAAAGAAAGATTCAAGTGGACACAATCCCAAAGGCAGTTAAAGTATATTATATATAATATTTTAGAGAGAGAGAGAGAGGGAGACAGAAAGAGACAGAGAGAGTAGTTGAGAGATTTATCATGGGCAAAAATCTTAGAATCAAGGCACTTCTTGAATTTCAGTCCCTTAGTTACTTGTGCACGTTTAAGTTCTGAAATTATTAATTCTAGTAATTTTAATGGAACACACAAATTGGTAAGTACACATAAAAATATTAGCAAGCTTAGAGCCTTAAACCATATTTCTCTATTCTAAACTAAATTTAGCAAATCAGAAAGTGGATTATATTATTAGTAGCAATAACATAAAACAGTTGTCATACAGATAGTTAACGCTTAGAAATACATTCTTCTTTTAAAGACTTCTGGAATATATGATTCTAGGTTAATAAACATTTACGAAGGTCCAATTGAAGAAGTAATATGATATTTCTTGAGGTGCTCAATGTGAGAGGAGGTGAGTAAAGCAGTTTGACATGGTAGGTCTGCAAGATGGAATCATAACCACCAAGGTATTGTAATTAACTACATCATTAACAGCTCCCCGCTAGATAGGGAGGGAAATGGTAGAGAGCTGTTTGCTCAGCAGCCTAATGAATGTAGGGACTCAATAATTTGCATTAGTCTTACTTTGGCACCTTCAGTCTCTTAACTCCACAGTCTCTTTTACGAAGTTCCCATGTAAGCTGTCTTTACAATGCACAGGGAAATACAGATGCACACCTATGTGGTTTCTCAGTGACTCATTCACCAAATGCTAGTGAAAATCAGTGTGTTGCTTAGGTGTTGAGGCCAACCACATTTGTGTGTCCACCACATATACGTATTTAAGCCCTTCACAATTATATATTGGTACCCTGAATGCTGAAGAGGTCCCTTGAAAAATTTCAGTAAGTCAAATATGGCCTTTGGGGGAAGTTGTTTCTATTCTTTGTTTGCAAAAAAAAAAAAAAAAAGACAGTTATTCAGGACACCTCTACCTGCCAAGGGAACCTGGCATTTCAAAGGCTCAGTAATTTATCGTGTGGAAAGTGTCCTTCAGCATATAAGAAAACATTTTTCATTTATAACTCATAAATTATCATGGGAGAACAAGTGTTCTCCAAATTGGCAATGATGATGGGTCAAATCTTTCTTCCTCCAGATTGGAATGGCGTGATGTTAAATTATGATCTGAAATTTGCAAAGGTGAGACTTAATTGTGAGCAGTCAAGGGGAGACTGCAGGGCGCTATCTGTTGAATCAGACTGCTAATTCCACTGGTCAGCCTCCTACTTTTCGCAAAGGAAGATGAACCATGATCTGTATCAATAACACAACTATCCTTTTATATCATCCTGCATATAGGGTATGAAATATGTCTGGATTTTGACAGGTAATCAGCTCATGCTATGAAGCGTAAGATAGAATTACCTGATACCGTTGTATCAGTTGGCATAGCTACACAATATGTCTTGGCTATTATAATATGATCTATGTCTTTTTAATATTTTGGCTACAACATTTGATTCATTGACCAGCTCAGCAGGCAGTAAATTTCACTGGTTGACTGTGCATGCAGCATGCAGCATACATCATGTAAAGAAGTATCTTCTTTTTCTTGGTTCTAAATTCACTATTTTTATTTCTGTCATTTGTTTCCATACTATGGAATAAGATTTAAAGGGAACTGAAGATTTAAACTGAACCATCAGTTCTCATTATACCCTTTCATAATTTTTAATACTGAAGTTTTCCAAAGATTGAATTCTGTATTTTTAGCAACTCCTATTGTCCTATTGATCCTAGTGGGCCAACTTATATGAATGTTGGCATGCACATGTTGGCCTTTAACTCTTACCAGGTTAAGTAAATCTCTTTTCTTTTTACTTTGTCACTCTTTGTGCCGGTCCCTCTGTACCACAAACTAGGATTTTTTTTCCACCTTCTCCCTGAAACTATTTCATCTTCACTGTAAACCTTTCTTAAAGTGAATTCAGTGAAACTAAAATTATTACTGTAGACAAAGCTGAAATTTTCTCTCGCTCTTTGTATAGTGTATACTATGTATATGCATAAGTGCATAATTCTCTTAAATGCATAACACAACGCCATGCTTGATTTATTGCCTCTTGCTTATCTGAGCTTCTTGCTTGCATTGTAATAAATTTGGGTTATCTGCATATCAGTTAAATGCATAATCCACATAACTGCATACCTCATTGTATCCTATGTAACTTAGGGTGTAGGTAGAAGTGCAGCTCTCTGCTGCAACTGAGAACACTTTGCAGAAAGCTTCTGAGTTACAACAATACCCTGGACCAAGCAGAGCTTCACTGTTGGTTCCAGGGGAGGGGAATCTAGCTGCTGGCTACCAGCCTACAGCTGGTTTCCCCTAGCAATGTTCCCTCCTCCAACCCAGCTTGTCCTTGTTTCAGAATGAGAGGAGGGAAAGGGAAAAGAAAGACCGTGTTTTAGGGGTTCCCCAGCCAGCATAGGAGGGTTGGGTGGGTAAACTGGAGCCCCTCCCACCCCCTAATCCTCCAGCAGGAGCTGGAAAAAACCCAGACCGAGCTCCCTCCACTCCCTTTGCCCCCTCCCATTCTGAAAGCAGTGACAGGCGGGCAGGCAGACAGAAGTTACAGAAGAGGCTTTATTTTGAAACCTCTTCATCTGACCCTTCATGCAATGAGGGTTCAGATTTTCACTCAATCAGCCATGCACTTGAAGCTGTCTGCAGCCATGCACTTGGGTTTGGTCACAGCTACAGTCCGCTTTCTATGGCCAGACCGGTTGAAAATTGTCACTTCTGTCTGCACCATTAATTTTATCCTGTTTAAATGTTCTAGAAAGTTAAAGGGAGGCAGCTGTCAAAGGGTTGCTCTTAGAAGCCTTGAAAATGAGGGAAGCTAGCCAGTTTTGGTGTTGCTAATATCACAGCACTCACTGTACTATGAGTGTACTTTAATGAGCAGTGCTTATATTTTTCAGTCCTGAAGTTTTACATTTACATGGAGTGTGCTGTAGCTTCCTTTTAAAAAAATTGTTGCACACTAGATAGGCAACCTCTGGGCTCATTTGTACCTAATTCTCTCTCCTAAAAGTTCACAACTTAGCAGTGTATAGGCATAACTTAACCTTTTTAAACTATCTTTCTTTTTTTTCCCCTCTTTGAACCTATTTCATACTCAACTGTGCTACATTTTATTTCTATGGTACCATTTCATTTTTTACTGTATTTTAAATGGATCTGCATTCTTTTTATGGCCCTAGCTATAATTCTGAGTTAAAAAAAGGTTCTGTCATCATTATTTGATTGTCACTTTCTTCCTCCAGTTCATTAACTTCCACTAGTATCTCTTCTTCCATCTGAGGAATTGACTTATATTTACCCTTAATTTTGTACCTATTCATAATCAAATTTTTCCCAACTAGCCTCCAAACACACTTGCCTTTCTAGTGTTAGGCATAATGAAGACCAAGCATTAATGAATACTTTTTATTCTGCTTTCCTATCCAAGGATCATAGTGTCTTATTAAAACACAAATGTTCCTTTAAGCAACTGAAATCCCTCTTTAAAATAAATAGAGAAATGGAGTTAAAGGCAAGTTTAGTGGCTTTTCTATAATCTCTTGAAACCTGAGAAAGGGATTTACACTTGTGGAATAGCATGGGTTTGCTGCTAAAGAAGAATCTGACAGAGTTCAACATATGGTAAAAACCCCATGACTTGCAGATGTGTGTTGCAAGTCGTGTTCAGCACAGAATAGGTACCTAGTAGCCTTAGTTGGATGAAATGTATGAGTGGGTTAAGAATGCGACATCCAGTGCTAGTGGAAGTGATGCAAAAATAATCTTAGGTCGATTAGGTAGACCTTAGATAGGAACTACATAGAGGTCATACATTCCTAAAAGAGCATGTTCAGGGACAAGAGGAGTATATCATTCCAAGAACAGTTGCACTCATCCAAACCCCATGTAAGTAGTGCTTAGTCTCTTCAGGTGAGTGCGGGTACTTTGCCATGTTCACATGCCTGTGAAGTCTCAGTCAGTTCTACCTTGTCCTCCTATGCTTACTACTCCTTCCAGGATGCTGGAGGCTTCCTCAGGGGCCACTGCCCTTGGGGGAAGGCTCCAGCTCATGTAAAGTCCTTGGAGAGAAGAGTATTGTCTTCAAAGTTCTGTGTGTGCAATGATGGGGAAGTGGGTGATTATTAATCTACCTCTATCTTCCAGTGTGGTTGGGAGCAGGTAAATATCCACAGATCTGAGAAACTCAGGCCTGAAAGTTCATGTAATTTGAGCAAGGTTGTGCAGGAAGCCTATGGCAGGGCCAGGCACAGAAGTTCCCGTATCATCCTGTCTTTGATCATAATAAATTACTAGCCTTCCTCAGATAGCACGTCACCTTCTGGACCAAAGAGATAGATGACCTCTAAAAAGAAGGGCCTATGGGACTGCGAAATACTTCAGAAGGAAGTAATCAAGAGCTCAGAAGCTCGCTAGGGAACAGGGTGAAAAGAGAACACCAGTAGTGCGAATAAAGCCAGAATAGGCTGGGTGCTGTTCTCAGCTCATAACAGATGGAGTCAACAGGATGAAAGGAAGAATCATGGTGTAAGTGACCCCAAGGGAACTGAGCATGCAGGCAACAGGAACAGGCATACAAGCATGGTATAGCTGGTGGTTTGCAATCAGTTTAGCAAAAGCATGACATCAACTTTCAGCACTGCTTACCAGACTGCCATTTTTGCAGATGTTCCTCTCCCCTTTTTAATAGATACATAGTA